ATACTACATGATTCCAAGAATTCCAAGATTGTAACAAGCTCGAGATTTGTCGATTTATTCTAGATAGCTCTATAATACTTAATATTGCATAAATAGTTTTATCTAGACTAAAAAAATACTGTATTTATTAGGTTGAGTACTAAGTTTTTCACACAAATTCATTTTCTAATTGAATAAGTCTCTCAAGCTACCAAATGAAATACGGTTTTTTTTTCATTAGATAGGCCAATCATTTCTCTTGCAAATTACTTTTGAAAGTTTTTGAAAAGCTTTGTTTTGAGGGTTTTTCATTAGCAAGAAGTCGAGTGTTCAAAAAAGATAAAGTCCGATGATGCGATTTGGATCGTTTCTTTTAATGAAACCTATTTTGATTACAAAATAAAAAAGATAGCACAAAAAAGTTAGGTCTACAAACAAAATTTCAAAATAATCCGTTTAGCGGTTTTCTTTATATGCTCATTTTTCAATATTTTTAAAAATACCAGTTTTTTTTCTCGCAGCTTATTCTAAAATACTAAAAATTGTTTAAAAATGACAAAAAGTAAACGACAAACATTTAGAATAAAAGTAACCGTTTGGTATTTGGTAGTTTAAAACTCGTTCATTTAGATAATGAAATGAAAGGTTCAAAACTTAGTAGTCAACCTAATATTTAGATGAGACACTACCCGTGATCGAATAGCACTTACCTTGAGCAAATTTAACGGCGATCGCATTTTCGCGCGGATGTGCACTTGACCACTCGATGGACCAGCATCTATAATAAAATTGCATAAATAGTGTTATCTAAAAAAATACTATTTATTAGGTTGAGTACTAAGTTTTTCACACAAATTCATTTTCTAATTGAATAAGTCTCTCAAGCTACCAAATGAAATACGGGGTTTTTTCATTAGATAACCCAATCATTTCTCTTACTTACTTTTGAAGGCTTCTGAAAGTTTTCGAAAAGCTTTGTTTGAAGGTTTTTCATTGGCAAGAAGCCGAATCTTCAAAAACGACAAAGTCCAATGATGCGATTTGAACCGTTTCTTTCGATGAAACCTATTTTGATTACAAAATGCATGATCCCAAGAAGAAATAGGTTTTTTTCTAGACTAAACAATACCCAACCTTTAAGGTTTTGGCCTGACTTCTAGACTTTGACTGGCCCAGATTTGCTTGGGTCTGTTTAAGAGGATACTACATGATTCCAAGAATTCCAGTTGTAACAGCTCGAGATTTGTCGATTTATTCTAGAAGCCATAAACTAAATTGCAAAATAGTTATCTAGACTAAAAAAATACTGTATTTATTAGGTTGAGTACTAAGTTTTTCACACAAATTCATTTTCTAATTGAATAAGTCTCTCAAGCTACCAAATGAAATACGGGTTTTTTTTCATTAGATAACCCAATCATTTCTCTTACAAATTACTTTTGAAGGCTTCTGAAAGTTTTCGAAAAGCTTTGTTTAAAAGTTTGAAGTTTAAAGGTTTATTTTGAAAGTTTTTCATTAGCAAAAAGCCGAATCTTCAAAAACGACAAACTCCGATGATTCAATTTCGATCGTTTCTTTCAATGAAACCGATTTTGATCACAAAATTTCTTTCTTTGGTCTATAAATTGCTTCAAATAGATTTTTTCAAAGTTAAACTCCCTTACCAAAGTTTATTTTCTAGTGCCGAGGTGTGGAAAACGTTTATGCCTCAGGAGACAAATGTCGGAGTGATTCGATTGGATTTGAACCAAGATGGGTGAACAAAATGACGAGTTTTCTTCATTTTTTTCCACACAATCATCATATTTTTGATGCTTTTTGATGATTTTTGACTTTTTTTAACTTTCTATTACGAATTTCTCCTTTTTCTTTTCATTTTCAGTACAAATTTTGAATTTTCATTGAATGCTGGCCATTCTTTTGTGCTTTTTCTTTTTTTAATAATAAATTTTCATTTTTTTTGCAGAGAATAGTAAAAATTAAAGAAATTTACGACATTTACAAAGGCCTAAATCTTGTTTTGATTTAAAGAAATATCGGGATAGGCTACTTTGCGCCAAATTTTTTGCGCAACTGGATCATTTGTGTAACTGGACCCAGTTGCGCAACTAGATCATTTGTACAACTGGATCCTTTGCGCAACTGGACATTGTGTAACTGACCTGTAACCGTTGCGCAACCGCCAAACCTTCTAAGTGGGCAACTAGATTTTAGTCATTTGTTGCGCTTATTGAGACTACAAAATGGACATTGACAACTGACCTTTGCGCAACTGGACATGTGTAACTGGACCCAGTTGCGCAACTAGATCATTTGTGTAACTGGATCCTTTGCGCAACTGGATCATTTGTACAACTGGATCCTTTGCGCAACTGGGTCGTTTGTGTAACTGGATCCTTTGCGCAACTGGATCATTTGTGTAACTGGACCCAGTTGCGCAACTGGGTCGTTTACGCAACTCGCCATAACTTTCTTCTAAGTTGGTCAATCTTTATGATTTTAGTTTCATTTTGTTGCGCTTATTGAGATCTACAAAATGAAACCAAAATCATAAAGATTAGACCACTTAGAAGAGAGTTATGGCTAGTTGCGCAACTGGGTCCAGTTACACAAATGATCCAGTTGCGCAAAAAAATTTGGCGCAAAGTAGCCTACCCCGAAATATCGTTTAAATAACATTTTATTTCGGAAAAGAGCTTACGAACTTCTGTTGCGGTTTGTTTAAACAGATTTAGACGCTGAGGAATATGAAAGGATTGACGATAGATGTCACACAAAACTCACCAAAATGTTCAAATCTCTTATTGGGGTGAATTGCTTGATTGTGCTCGTAGCTACTCAGGTGGTTCATCGAATCAAAATTGATTCATCGGTCACCAAACTTCACCAAAAAGAGTCAGATCCTAGTTGTTCTTGTTTAACGATGAGAAAGTCAAGCTCTGGCCCATCAGAATCCGTTCCCAAGGTATTGAAGCGCTCGATTGTTCTCGATTGTTCGATGCATTCGATTCTCTTTGAGACGTTTTGCAATCTCACTATACAGGGTGGACCAAAATTATCGTTACATATAAGGTCTTTGTATAAAAAAACAACTCAAAAGGTCAAGGATTTTCAAATAGCTTGTTTTTGATGATTCTTCTAAGTGACGTTCGCTTAATCCCCATTTTTTGTGACATTCCGCGCACTGATTGGTTTGGCGTTTTCAAAAAACGATTCCTCACTTTTTTGACATTTGCTGAAGTTGTTACCGTTCGCTTTCTTCCACACTCTGGCCGATCAGAATCCGTTCCCGAGGTATTGAAGCGTTCGATTGTTCCATGCATTCGATTCTCTTTGAGACGTTTTGCAATCTCAATCGTTGATTGTTTGCGCAGCGCAGCGCGATTAATCCTCGATGCGATGATGCTCGATTCATTCTAAAAATAAACACTCTTATGATATTTTTGTCTTGTATTAATGTTGAAAAACAAATAATATTAAAAGAAAAATCAGAAAAACAACACAAGTTTGAAGAGATGCGCATTTGCGCACAAGTGCGCGTTGTAACGGGAATTTTGACCCATCCTGTATCCAGAGTTTTCGAATCTACGAGACATTAAAAATGTTAGAATTATATTTTACAATATTTCTTATGATATTTATTAGTTTTGTTTTTGGATGGAAGCTTTTCGAGAGCTTATGACAAGCTTAAATGATCCGATCTCCTTGCCACAATATGCGTTTCAGGCGTTTCTAGGCAAACAACCGCAAAAGGCTATAATTTCGAAAAAAGTAACTTAAAGTTGTTAACGTTGAGCGCATTGATAAGTGTGTTGCCTTTTTAGCATTAAACTTGTCCAAAATAAGCTCTAAAAATAGCAAACTACTGTTCCCAGAATATGAATCGCTCGAATATTGAACACCGTGTTTGGGAAATGACTTAAAACTCTAAATTTTAAGATTTCTGTTAAGAAACTTTAACAATAATCTAAAAAATGGCACACGATCTGGTTCATTTAGCTTCTTAGAGTTGGCTTCTTAAAGTTGGCTTCTTAGAGTTGACTTCTTAGGGTTGACTTCTTAGAGTTGGCTTCTTGGAGTTGACTTCCTAGAGTTGACTTCTTAGAGTTCGCTTCTTAGAGTTCGCTTCTTAGAGTTGGCTTCTTAAAGTTGGCTTCTTAGAGTTGACTTCTTAGGGTTGACTTCTTAGAGTTGGCTTCTTGGAGTTGACTTCCTAGAGTTGACTTCTTAGAGTTCGCTTCTTAGAGTTCGCTTCTTAGAGTTGACTTCTTAGAGTTCGCTTCTTAGAGTTGACTTCTTAGGGTTGACTTCTTAGAGTTGGCTTCTTGGAGTTGACTTCCTAGAGTTGACTTCTTAGAGTTCGCTTCTTAGAGTTCGCTTCTTAGAGTTGACTTCTTAGAGTTGGCTTCTGAGAGTTGGCTTCTGAGAGTTGGCTTCTTGGACTTGACTTCTTAGTGTTGACACAAACCCGATGCATGATCCCTCGAGAGTGCAAGAAATCCAAGAGCAAGCACTGCACGAGAAGAGAAGCCAAATGTTGATGGTCGCGTAGAATTGGCCCCTTCTTCTCATCGTTGTCTTGTTTTGAGAAAAGCCTAAATGACTTGAATAACTTTCCGATATCACTCAAATTGGCACAGACTTGAAATAGAACTCCAAACTATACTTTCCATTCGTCTAAAAAAAGGCACAGGATATAGTTCATTTAGCTTCTTAGAGTTGATTGATGTCAATATAAAATTCAAATCATTTTGTGCTCTTAAATTTTCACTTCTTTTGATGAAAGTCATAAAATATAAGACTTTGTTTTGGTTAAAGGCAGTCTTTTTTACTTTATTTCAATGTTTTCGTTCAATCTTTCCTCTCGTCTTTTGCAGGTTTTAGAGATTCATATTCTTTTATTAACTATGAGTTCAACAAGCTCAAATTCGTATATTATAAAAAGAACAAAAGGAAAATAAAAACATTAAAAAGAGAAAAGCCCTCACAAACATTGCATAATCATTCAAATGCTAAAATTAAATTTTTCTCGAGAATTTCTCCAACAATTGCGTCAATCGATCCTCGTCTCTCTTGTTTTTCTCTTTCATTTCATCGGCTGTTGGCAAAGAGTCGCGATTCCGCAAGTCCCTTTTTAACTTAAAGAACGAATTTGGTAAAGATTTTTGGTGGTATTTTCCGGCTATATCTCAAATGCATCAATCCGGTTATAACCCCATAAAATCTACATTTTAATATCTAGGTTATCATACATTAATTGCCCGCACTAGATAAATCCATGAGTCAAACTAAAGTCAAGATATTTAGCCATGGCAAGACATAGACATAGACAGGCAAGACATAGACAGGCAAGACGTAGACATGACAAAGTATGTGCCCAGTTCCCTTGATGTTTGGGCTATCATGCATGTGATGTGAAATTGTGAAGGATATAACCGGTAAGTATCTTTTGACTTCTTATCTTTTGACTGCTTAAAAGCAAACATTCATCAATAGAAGATAAGGCTGGTTAAGGCAAATCGAGGGTTTAACCCTCTTCTGTGGATTCACCGATAGGAACTTCTCTAGCATGATGATATGATACATGAATGTATGATAATACATTAAGTGCCCGCACTGGATAAATCCATGATTCAAACTAAAGTCAGTCAAACTAAAGTCAAGATATTCAATCATGGGAAAGTAAGTGCCCAGTTCCTTTGATTTCTGGGCTATCATATATGATTTGATGTGTCATATGTGATGTAAAATTTTGCAGGATATAACCAGACTGATGCAATGAAGGATAGAATCGGAAAGTATCTTTTGACTTCTTAAAAACAAACATTCAACTCTTGAAGATAGGAATGGTTAAGGCAAATCGAGGGTTTCATCCTCTTCTGTGGATTCACCGATAGGAGCTTCTCTAGCAGGTCTCGTAGATTTCCTCCTGTAATATGATAATGAATTATAATCATTGATTCCTTCACTGGTCAATGGGTTCAATGGGTGTTCTTCACTGTCATTTTTCAATCGAGAAAACGCTCGCTTAAATTCTTCATCGAGAGTCGATAGACGGCAATCCTCGTTCAATAGACTCTCTCCGAATCTGAAAACAAGATTGAGATCTTCTTTTCAAATGATCTACCAGCCATTCAAATGATTTTCATGAAACTCCAAGATGTCAAGCAAATCACTCACATATCTTCATATTTATTCAACGGGAGACCGACCACGTCGAGAATTCGTTGTTTGACTTTATCCTCTCTTTTCTGCAAGAATGAGACTATTTATGAGGCTAATATCTCGAACCATATCGGTCGGATACATCAATTTCGTTCCCAACATCCCAAAAGCGATCAACCCAACCGCCCAAACGTCCACTAAATGAGACTCAACGGCTCTTTGTCGTCGAGTTACCGAATCACCCACCTCCACAGTCATATCCCCGTTCCAGGATCACCTCCAATGGCTGGTAGATCAACGGAGTTGAGACAAGTTTCGTGTGATCTCTTTGCGAATTCGTTTGTCTAATTGAGAGAAACGTTGAATTCGGAAACTTTACCATGAAATTACCCAGATATCCCGAAATCCAGCAATTTAACCACAAAATCTTTCCGATTCAATCCAATATTCTTCGGCGTCACATCCTCAATATTCGCATGTTTTACCGAACTCTTGAACTCTTATCTCTTGAAAAGCACAAACCCGATGCATGATCCCTCGAGAGTGCAAGAAATCTAAAGCTTTGAGCAACTGCACGAGAAGAGAAGCCAAATGTCGATGGTCGCGTAGACTCGGCCCCCTCGCATCGTTATCTTTTCTTGATAAAAGCCTAAATCACTTGAATAACTTTCCGATATCACTCGAATTGGCACAGACTCGAAATAGAACTCCAAACTACAGTCCATTCGTTCGGTGACCAGCCATACATAGCTGAGTCTTCCGTTAGCTGGGTCTTCTGAACTCTCGTAAAAAGAGTCTCTCATCTCGACAATCTATAAGGAGAAAATAAAATGCCAGCCCCGACACTCGCTCACATTCGGATGCACTAAATATTGGGTGTTTTGGAGCTCGCGGAGGAGAAACGTGAATCCTTGATATTCTTCGCTCTTCGCGTTTTGTTTCAACTCGGCAATGTTGAATCTGAAATTGAAAAGTCGAAAAAACCACGAGAGATTGCTTGCCTCTTTGCAGCGACTTTCTCTCTCGATTCGTCCTTTTCGCCAATTTTCCTGACCAACGACCCGGCTCTGAAAACATTGGTTTGGTTTGGTTTTGGTTTTGGCTAAAAGCCATCACTGTTGTGTCCAATAGACGTGTATTTTGGTCCGGACTAAAGACCAAAAAAGTTCCGAAATACAGTCATGGATAAAAGACTAAAAGAAGTTCTAAAGAAGGTGAAATTTAGCTCCAAATTTGTTGAACTTTGGAGCTAAATTTCATCTTCGATTGTTGCCGAACTCGTTGATTTTATGCTCAGAAGACTTAAGGTAATCAGAATAGCCAAAAGAGGAGCCAAAAAATACTAATCTTGTTGCTTTTCCCATCAATAGTTTTTTTTTTTCCATCAGTTTTTCCAAGACTTTTGTCCCTTAAAAAAATGAGTGGTTTTAGAAAACATGAAAAATTCTTTAAAAAAAGTGAAAAGCTGTTGTTGAAAGCTGAAAGCTGAAAAGAACAACAAATTTTCCCCAATTTTTTTTTTTTAAAGGGACAAAAAAAAATTAAAAAAATTTAAAAAAAGATTTTGGGGGGGGGGGGGGGGGGGGGGAAATAAAAAAAAAAAAAAAATATAAAAAATGTAAAAAATATAGAAAAATATTTTAAAAAATTTTTTTTTTTTTTTTTTTTTTTTAAAAAAAATATTGAAATTAGTCTTCAAATGTGTGAGCTGAACAACAGCCAGCGCTCCGTCTGCTTTGCAAGCTTTTGCCTAGAGCTAAATTTCATCTTCGATTGTTGCCGAACTTGTTGATTTTATGCTCAGAAGACAATCAGAATAGCCAAAGGAGGAGCCAAAAAATACTAATCTTTTTACTTTTTTCATCAATAAATTGTTTTATCAAGAATTTTGTCCCTTAAAAAATGAGTGGTTTTAGAAAACATGAAAAATTCTTTAAAAAGTGATAAGCTGTTGTTGAAAGCTGAAAGCTGAAAAGATCAAATGCTTTACCCAATTATTTTTAACTTTAAAGGCTACAAAAAACTCTTTAAAACTTATGCAAAAACTTTGGTTTTCGAGAAAAAAGTAAAACTTGAGAAATTTCGAAATTTTTAAGACTTTTATCCATGACTCTATATGACTAATGTATTCTTGAGGCTGCCAATCGTTTAATGTCAATCGATGTCAAATTTAATAAGCAATCCTCTATATCTAAAGATCTAGCAGTGAGTGACTCACATGACAATGGCTTGCGATCCGCGAGCGAGCTCATGAAAATGATCTTCGGGAATTCGCTTATCTCGAAAGTGCTTATCATCCTTAAAAAACGATTTTAATCAGGCCCAAATCAAATTTCTCTTACCAAATCCGGCTCATAATTGATTGGCATCACTGCTTTTCCTTCAAAGATTTCCCAGATTGGAGGCTGATTTATTTTCGGCTTTTGTGTGTTAATCCTTCTGTAGAAAACGATTTCTCGAGAATTTTCGCTCATCTTTGAATCGATGATGATCTGATTTCTGAATTGAAAAGCTCTAGAATGTTTTTTAAAAATGAAAAATGATTATTAAATGGAGATAATCACAAAAAAAATGATCAAAATGTACCTAAAAAAATGGAGAAAAACAAACAAACGTTTTTTAATGTAATTTTTTTCTTTTCAGTAAGAATAAAATGTAAAATAATCAATAAATACAAAAAAAATTCAATTTTTTTTTATTTTAGTTGTAGGGAAAAAGGTTTTGCGCAATTTATCAGTCAATCGAAATGGTTACATGCTCTCTTTTTTTTGCCCGATCGATCAAGGCGATTTCATTTCGCAAAAGAAAGCACACTCTTTGAATCAACAGCCAAACGAGAGATTAGGTCTCTGTTCGCTTCTAGGAGTAGATATGGACTAGAATTTGGGTTAAGGTAAAGAGAGTGGATCCTTTTGATATCTCTAACACCATCTCTAACACCCCGACAACCCAACTCAACTCCTCCAGGGGAGTCCCTGTGATATCACAGACCTGAACTGCAGTTGCATAGACCCGAAAGATGTGTTCAATTACTGAGCATTAGATTAGACCTCAATTATATATACCGTATTCTCTCTAATAGTAGTGCACCCCACCGAGCCGAGTTGATGACTATTTCACGGTTTCTAAGTCTTCGTAGCTCAACACTCTAAACCCCCACTAGATCTCATCGTCAGCTACATTTTCCAACCCCACATCAAGAAGTTCCGATAAGCGGTTCTCGAGATTTCGAGATTCGATTTCATTTCGCAAAAGAAAGCACACTTTTTGAATCAACTGCCAGATGAGAGATTAGGCGTCTGTTCGTTCCTAGAAGTAAACGGATGGACGAATGGAGTAAACGGATGGACTAGAATTTGGGTTAAGTTAAAGAGAGTGGATCCTTTTGATATCCTGTCATCGCTAACACCCCGACAACCCAACTCAACTCCTTCAGGCGAGTCCCTGTGATATCATAGACCTGAATTGCAGTTGCAAAGACCCGGAAGCTATTTATACGAAGTGTTCTGCAAAAACTAAAAGCGGATTAGAGATCCCTATGACCGACTATATAAGAATTGCATTTTAAAAACTGTTTCCTTACGTCTTTGCATTAAATTATTGACTCGAGTTTTATCCACCGCTTTCTACAACTTTAACAAATCATTTACAAAAGATGAAATCTTCCAAATTTTCAGTCAATAGATAAGTATTGAAAAATTTCACATTTTTTGTCACATTTCTGAAAACTACAGGCTTTCTAAAGCTAAAATTCAACTCTAATATTCAATGCAAATGCGTAGGGAAAGTTTTTTAAAAAAAGCAAAAGAGTTTGACGAGAGTAGGACTCGAATTTGGGGACAAATATGTAACAGATTTGGTAGTCTATCAGACTATCCACTTGACTACAGAAGAGCGTGTGGCCTCTTCTTAAAGAGTTGAAAATCTAGATATCTGCGAATCGTTTAGCAGAAACTAAAAACGGATTTGAGATCCTTACTTGATGAGATGAACTTTGTCTCGAGCTTGACTCGATGCCTTGTAAGTCTTGACTTGACTCGAGCTTGACTCGATGCCTTGTAAGTCTTGACTTGACTCGAGCTTGACTCGATGCCTTGTAAGTCTTGACTTGACTCGAGCTTGACTCGATGCCTTGTAAGTCTTGACTTGACTCGAGACTCGAGCTTGACTCGAGCTTGACTCGATGCCTTTCCCTTGTAAGCAAAAAACGTCGACTTTGTGTTACCAAATTTTATTTTGTTTCATCGAAAACAAAAAGAGAAGAGTCTTGAAAAGATGTCGCATCTCGCCTCAATCAGAAACTGAAAACGGATTTGAGATCCTTACTTGATGAGATGAACTTGGTCTCGAGCTTGACTCGATGCCTTTTCCTTGTAAGCAAAAAACCTCGACTTTATGTTACTAACTTCACTTTGTTTCATCGAAAACAAAAAGAGAACAGTCTTGAAAAGGTGTCGCATCTCACCTCAATCGTTTATTTTTTTGTTTACTTTTCAGGCCAGGTGTGTAGCTGAAGCGCCGTCCACTCATTCATTGGAGACAATTGGAGAAATTTGAAAATGCGTCTGATTTTAGTAAAGCTAATGAAAATCGAATTTCCCTCTTTTAGTTAGCCTTTTTTCAGTGATTTACTTAAAAAATTATGTATTTTAAAGTCAAATTTCTCATTTTTTATTTTGTAAATGTAGATATGACTGCAATTTTAACCTTAAATTTCACAATTTGAGATGTTATTACTTCTTCAAACGTTTTCCGAATGAAACTAAGAGAGAATGTAGGCTTTTGTTTCACAAATTATTAAGTAATTGTTGTTTTTGTTTGTAAATTTGTTTACATTTGCAAGAAATTTCAATTCCAGACGCTGTTCACAAAAAAACAATGCACAATGCATTCCGCGGAATGCAATGGTCAACTCGAAAAGTGTTGCTCATCTTCAGTAGGGTTTTTGTTAAAGAAATAGTTTGAATAATCACTTATCCAAACTATTAAACTATTAAATTAACGATTGTAACGATTTTCGGCTCGTTTTCTCATGCAAATTAAACAAGATCCTGAATGCTAATAGCATATTAGGTTGGTCAATTGAAAACTGTGGGACTTTGAACTAAAATTTATTCGACATAAAACCATGAATTCATTCCAAATAATTTCCATTATTATTGACGACTTCTGCCCATTTTACAGGCAATTTGCGGATTCCTCTTTCGTAGTAGGATTTTGGTTTTGAATCGAAAAACTTTCAAAGCCAATTTTTGACTGCTTCTTCCGAATTGAAGTGTTCTCCCGCAAGCTCATTACTCATGATCCGGAATAAATGGTAATCAAAAGGGGCGAGGTCCGGACTGTATGGGAAATGCGCCAAAAATTCCCAACCAAGGCTGTTTATTTTAGAGCGAGTCAGTTTTGCACCATGAGGGCGCGCGTTGTCGTGGATGAGAACGATCTTTGACTTGAAGGGCCTATTCTTCGTCAGGGATTCATTCACCTTTCCCAACTGTTCACTGTATTTGATTGCATTAAGGGTCGTGTTGCTTCGTCTTGATTGATCGTCTTGCTATCCGGCAACTCCCAGTACACCACTCCCTCCATATCCCAAAAGACGCAGAGCATAAACTTCTGGTGCAAATCGGGCCTGGGGTCACTTTCGGTTGGTCGGTGAATTGAAAACTGCGAAACTTTGAACTAAAATTTGTTCAACATAAAACCATCAATAATTTTCATTATTCTTGACGACTTCTGCCCATTTTACAGGCAATTTGCGGATTCCTCTTTCGTAGTAGGATTTTGGTTTGTGTGTGAGACAAGTGTGAGACTCAAAAATGGAGGACTGGAGATGTCCCAGTTTGAGCACTTTCTTCAAAAGAAACCCATTTTGGTGTCAATAGAAAAGTTGTAGAGAATCAAAAATTAGGCTTATAGCCAAATTTCCAAAAAGATACACTTAGTAGTTTTGCTTAAAATGCTCGCTTGAAATGCAAGTTTTGTGAAAATTCGTAAATTTGGCATTTCTTGAAAACCAGTTTTTCAATCGTTCTGAAAATTTGAATATAAGCTTGATTTTTGATTCTCTACAACTTTTCCATTGACACCAAAATGGGTTTCTTTTGGAGAAAGTGCCCAAACTGTCACATATGACAATAGCCGGCAGCTTTCAATTCACCAACCCAATAGAAAACGAATCGTCTACACATTAGCATATAGAATGATGCTCTAGTTCTCTAGTTTACTCTAGTTTACTCTAATTTAATCAAAATGTATTCAGTTTACAGTTATTGCCGCGTTTTTATTGGTGTTTGCGTTGAGAGTGAAAAATGATGGATCGATTGTGAAAGAAACTCACTATCAAGCGGCTCAAGCTGTCGTCAATCAGGCCAGCGATTTTATGTGGAAAATCAGAAGTTTGTCTTGTTTGAAACAAGAGTTTCTCTTTTTATCAGTAGCTATTTAGAGCTTACGACTTTCAAGCTGACTAGCCTAATCAAAAAAGGGCTTTTACATCCGTTTTCAACTTTGCAGACTCGATTCTTTCATCGGGGACCGATGGAATGTTTGAGCCGATGAACACAAAGAGATTTCGATTGGCTGATGGATCTTTAAAGAGTGATGAGTTGTTTGTCTGGTACGCCTTCTACGATTTGAGGTTGGCTTTTCTGATAGATATGGGAAAATTCTAGCCGAATCTAATTCCACCGTCGTTTTCTCGGCCGTTCCTGGGCTGATAGCTCTGAAATTTTGTCTACAAGCTGAAAATGTGGATCTCTATCTGTAGACAAAATTTCAGAGCAAACGGCCAAGAAACGACCAAGAAAACAAAGGTAAAATTAGGTTTGGCTCGGAATTTTCCCATGTCTAGCCGCGAGTCGAGTCGAGGTAGCGATTCAAAGTGGCTCGTTGAATCAAATCGATTCAAAAACCAAAAGCAAGTTAATAAATATGAATACCTTATTTATGTAAACATAAAAAAAGTGACAATAGAACATTTTTAATTGAAAAAAGGACAGAAAAAACTTATTGAACAGAAGAAGAGAGAAATTGTAGAGACTAAAGTTTAAATTGATTCTATTCGAATAGAAATTTAGATTTAAATTCGATTTTCTTTAATGAATAAATGATAAATCTAGATTTCAGCAATTTTTTTTTGCGCAACTCGCCATAACTTTCTTCTAAGTGGACTAATCTTTATGATTTTGGTTTCATTTTGTAGATCTCAATAAGTGCAACAAAATGACACTAAAATCATAAAGATTGACCAACTTAGAAGAAAGTTATGGCGATTCACGCAAAAAAAATTACGGAAATTAGCCTACCCCGAAGAAGGTCAAATGAATCGACTAAATTCAGGATTTTTGCGAGCCAGCATATAACTCTGATAATATTAATCAATTTGTATGATTTCTAAAAGTATAATAAGAGTTGGATTCAATTTACATTCATACATTAGCATACAAAATGTTTTCCAACAAAGTATTGGGTTGGTGGAAAAGGCTATTGATCTGAGGATCGCTGGTTCGACTTCCACCGGTGACAATGTTTGTCAAAATTTTTGCTAAGATTCTGAAAATTTGTGTCTAGGGGTCATTTTGGACGCTGATCACGAATAACATGTTTTTAGCCTAGGTTTCTGCACGAAAAACTAACGAAACATGAAAACAGCCATTTTTTGGCTCTGTCGCCCTTTACTAAAATAGCTGTAAAAACTTTTAGAAAAGAAATATCTCAAAACGGTTTTTACCAATCGATCCGTCTTGAATTCAGCTTTAGGATGAGCTATAAAACGTCAAAATTGGACAAATTTAAGGTACTCTCCCAAAAAATCCGAAAGGACTTTTCCACCAACCCAATACCTTACTGACAGTCATCAAGTCGGACAAATTTGACTGAAATTTGACTCGTGACTTGTCTCAACCAGATTTTTTTAAACAATTTCTATGTTTATTTAGTGAAAAGTTGTCCTGTCAACTTTTGGATATACCGTAATAATTCTAATAGAAGACCATGGTCTTCTAATTTTCAACCCTCCAAAATTGGTGAGTCAAAAAAGTAGGTAAAGGTCCCCCACATGAATCAAAAAATTAAAAATAGTTAAAAACTATTTCAAACGATAGCCCTTGCCCCAAAACATGCCAAAAACATGTCTAAAAGTGAAATCTATTTTCTTGCCCGGACTCCATAGAAAATCTTTCAAAAAAATCCATGTAGGGGACCACATGAAATTTTTCCAAAAAGTTATTTTTTAATTTTTTCAAAAACTACGTCTCCAATTTTACTGCCGGGGCTAAAATATTACTATCTGGACCCAAATCTTTCATTCTACTTGAACAGAAGTTTTAAAAAGCCCCGATTTCAAGGGGTCAAGGGGGTGGTCTTCTATTGGAGACTGGTCTTCTATTAGAGACTGGTCTTTTATTAGAATTATTACGGTACTTACAGTGGTCCACAAAAGTAATGCCCCATTGCCATCCAAGAGTATGTTTTGTAAGGAAATCTTGCAAAATCGACATTTCAGAAAAAGAGTAGGGTATTTTTCATAGAAGGAGAAACAAAAAGAATAATCATGAAAACGATCAATGGGGCATTACTTTTGTGGAGCTAATTTTAGGGGTAATTGCACTCTTCCACCTCGATCTTTTGATTGGAAAGATCTCAATCAAAAAAATCCAGTTGTTTAACAACTAGAATTTCTAAAGTAGTTCAAAAAAAAAAAAAATATATATTTTAAATACATGTTTTCAGGAGGAATTTTGCAACAAATACTTTTGAATGGCAATGGGGCATTACTTTTGTGGACCACTGTATATCTTTAAAGGCCTAAAACTCAGGGTGTTCGGTCTACCAATACTTATAGTTATTGCTTCCATTGGAGGCTACGAATCTATTAGAATAAATACGGTACATCAAGTAGGTTAAGAGCTGTTTTTCATCAGAGGTTTACGGGCAGCCCTTCTTGCATATAATTCAGCTTGATTTAATCGTCGTCTGATCGTTTCCGGTGTTACAACCTTGTTAAATTGATCCCTCACCATTTGGCTTCAGCGGTTGATGTTTTGTTCGGATCGTTTTTCACCATTTGGATCACGGCTCGGTCTTCTTTTATGGTTGTGTTTGGTCGTCGACCACTCTTGAGGCCTCGATGAAGATTTTTGCCAGCTTTTGATTGAGAAAAAATGCGGCGCACTGTCCATATCGAGCAATTGAAGAGGTTGGCCACATCCTTCTCCCGCATCCCATTTTTCCGGGCCTTAGCGATTTGGAGCCTCTTCGGAGTGTCAAGATTTTTGATGTCAGAGATCTAAATAATACAATAGAATACATTTAATGTTCATAGAAGGAGAAACAAAAAGAATAATCATGAAAACGATCAATGGGGCATTACTTTTGTGGAGCTAATTTTAGGGGTAATTGCACTCTTCCACCTCGATCTTTTGATTGAAATTTGAAATTGTATGGTTAACAATTTACTGATTTTACTGATCTCAATCAAAAAAAAATCCAGCTATTTAACAACTAGAATTTCTAAAGTATTTTATAAGAGAAAAAAATATACTTTAAATACACGTTTTCAGAAGGAATTTTGCAAAAAATACTTTTGAATGGCAATGGGGTATTACTTTTGTGAACCACTGTATGAGCAGATAACCATGAGTTAGTCATGAAAAATTTGACACTATTTAACATTGACAATTTGACAATTTGACATTCAAGTTCACTCACTCACAAGACCTAAATCTTAATAAAATCAGCCTTGTGCAAGTTCAGCAAAAACTTTTTCATTTCAGAGACCCAGAAGGACCAAGGATTCGCATTTTGATAAATGCTTTATGTAAAGATTTAAAGAAAGAAGATGTGATGATCGATTTGGGCGATGGGGATCCTCCGTTACCGTTGGCCTGGGCTGAAGTGCTTGGAAGTAAGTCAATATCTAAATCTAGATATCTAAACTGAATCATTTACCTTGTTTCTTAAGCTTCTTTGTTAAACCAGTTCAAATTTAGCTAAGCTTTGTTAAATCTGTTTTGGTTAAAGAAATTTTGTGCTCTTTTAGCTGCTGGTTGTCCTGGTTCAAGTGGTTGTATTGTACAAGAAATGGAGCTTTCTTCAATAGTCCATCGAGGAAAAGTACCTGAAAAGGCTTGTTATAAATCAAGTTTTATATTTATAGGAATTTCAGATAAACATTTTGAGAAAGTCAAAAAGCGTTCAAGTGAAGCTGCATCGATTACCAACAAGTTATAAGGACGACATCAACACGTGCATTGTGGCTCCATTGTACTGGTGAGTGGCTGTTGTATGGGTTATGGAAATATATTGCATTTAACTAGCTACCGTATTTCCTGTAGTTGAACAACATGGGATTTACTAGAAGGATGGGACTATTGCCTCAAGCATTCGATCAACGAAAGCAACAAAAAACAAAAAAAAAACGATCAACTATCGAACGATTATCCAAAACATACAAAGCCAACAAGCAACTGTAATGCTGTAAAGCTTCCTATTCCTGTAAAGCTTTTCCAACTCAGGCATTTGTCTGCTATAGGATCAAACACACTTTCAATCAATGCCAAAATGTTCTGCCGAAGTCTTGACCAAAACGTCTTTGTCCATCTTTACAGCTACAAGTTCTGTTTCTGTCTCAATAGCTTCCATTTTCTTTTATCCCTCCTCGCCGTGTCCATAGTTCTATCATCTTCTGGTTCTTCTACTGGTGAGTTAAACGACGTTAAACGTATCGACGTTAAACAGCTCCCGATCTTCTTCAAAATGTCTGTCGAGCTCGTTGTCTCGCTGGATTCAAAACAGCTCTAACTCATCAAAAACTTCACTCATCGTAGCATTATAAAATTATTGGGTTGGCAAGTTATAAACGATCGTTTTAGGCAACAACTTGTTTATTTTATAAAACTCAAAAAAGAACATTAAAATGCTTGTCGAGTTTTTTGTGAATGACATTTGCTGTGTGTGTGATTTGTGATTTTACGCTTGGGCGGGGCTCTATTAGAGGAAGGCTTCTATTAGAGGGATGAGACTCAATTACAGAAAATACCGTATAAATAACAACAAGAAGTTAAACTACTTAGTTCAATGCTTAGGTTCAACGATTGGCCGCGACTTTTCCTTTCACTCGAATGGTGGAGAAGAAACAAAAGCAACAAGCTTTTGATGCACATTCACTCGATGTCTCCATCAGCCAAGAAAGTCATTGATTACTACATTGAACAGGTGAGGAAAGTTAGCCATTGAACTTATGACATTGAACAGGTGAGGAAAGAGAAAAGTATTGGAACAGATAGCTTTTACCCTTTTTCCGTTGTATGAAATAAACAGGCTAAGAAAAAAAAACTCATTTTGCTAGCACAAATCAGCCTTATAACTGTCAATAAACTTATTTAATGATGCTTTGAACTATTGCTAATCGATTCAACGTTGTCAATCATCCCAGAAACGTTCCGAAACTTGTAGAAATGATAGAGCCCCAAGAGCTTTATCAGGGTAGCCCATTTTCAATGTATTAACCCTGGTAGATGTTGCGATAACGTTAGGATTACAGCAATTGACTAGAGCTCATCCTTTGTGACTCCTTATTGATGATGTGCGTAATTGAAAATCAACTTCTTTCTTCATCAGGTTGACAACTCTGAAACTTGGGTAATTAAAACAATCAATTGAAAACGATAAAAACAAAACGATAATATGAATGTGGGAGAAAAATGGAGTAACTGGGTAAACAGCTGTCAGACTAACTTGTCAGACCACCTTTCAATCTCTGAAACAAGTTTAGAAACTCATTTAGAGAATAACTCGCAATAGAATTTGCGCTAAATGGGTGCCACTAGTAGATGAGTTCTTCAAAAAGGAAATGCTAAGATCTCTAAGCAGTATCAGACAAAAAATGTCTGTTAAACTCTAGCAAAACTTGTTTCACTTTTGAAATTGTGTGGTTTTTAACTTGAATCTAGTCTATGACTAAATGATTTCTTTAAAGGGATTCCTCGAGATTCGCCCCTTTCCAATGATGCCTTTCACGAAAGAATTCGACCCGAACAATCTCGTCTATTATGGCGCCGAGCATTTGACAACGTTTTTCTGCTCGATCTGGTCCGACACCAAGTACACAACGATGAACGATATCGATGAAATGTTCTGGGTTAGGTGAGGATTGGGTTACAGATAGTTACTCTAGACACTACTCTTGATTACTTACTCTTAATACTCTAAGACACGATTTTAGAGTAGACTTGAGTAAACTAGAAACCAAAGTTTATTAAATATCTTGAAATAGGAGCTGATCGTAAAGTCTTGTTTGTTCTCTTTCATATGTACAATCATGGACAAAAGTCTTTTAACATTAGTTTTTAGAAGTTTGTTCTTTGTATATCTTGATCTAAATCCGACCAATTTGCAAACGGTTAAAAGATTTAAAGAGCTTATTGCTTATCAAAAGTGGAGCCTTGGTACTTCATCCGTCGAGTCTGGACAACTATTGGACCCCAAATTCTACGTGAGCTGGTTGACAGCATGCCAAGGAGAATTCATGCAGTAATTAATACGGAGGACCTACTAAGTATTGATTGGAGGAATGCCAATGGAGGAACAGCTCTGGTGCCAGGATGGTTCAAAGCAAACCGTGTTCAACTTGTGTCTGCTCCTCCCTATAGTCTTGATTTGAATGTAATCGAGAACTTATGGGCGTTTGTGAAGTCGAAATTGAAGGGGAAACTATTCGGATCAAAAGTGGAGCTTTGGTACTTCATCCGTCGAGTCTGGACAACTATTGGACCCCAAATTCTACGTGATCTGGTTGACAGCATGCCAAGGAGAATTCAAGCAGCAATTGCGGCTCGCGGCGGACCTACTAAGTATTGATTTTCATAATGTTTTTCTCACATGTTAAAAGACTTTTGTCCATCAATTTTTGGCTCAATTTTTGTTTTATTAAAAAGTTTATGACACCTGATAAATTGTTAAATCCATCTTTTTATAATGTTAAAATTAGAGATAATAAACTCTTTAAATCTTTTAACCGTTTGCAAATTGGTCGGATTTGGCAGATATACAAAAAACAAACTTCGAAAAACCAACGTTAAAAGACTTTTGTCCATGACTGTATGTAGACTAGTCCGATAGGCATTATTAAAACTAATTTGCTCTGTATCACGAATTACTAGTGTGCTTTCCCTTGAATTTACTAGAAATGGCTAGATCTGTGTGCTTTTGCTTGCATGGTTTTTGCTTGAATGGCTTTGGCTTGAATGGCTTTGGATTGAATGGCTTTTGCTTGAATGGCTTTGGCTTCGGCTGAAAACCAAGTTTATTTAATACTCGTGTAACAAAGCGTGTAAAAATGTTTCAACGAAGCTCCAAAAAACAATGTGACCCAGAGCCAGGAATCATTTTGATGAAAATTGTGAAATTAACTCGAACTAAAGAAAACCAATTCCCCACAAGGCAAAATGAGAGAAGATTCCGACTAAATGGGAAAGGAGGCGTCCTTTTATACGCGTGTGAGCGCGACATTATTTAGATTACGGTATTTCTGGTGTCTTATTAGACTACGGTAGCTTTTTGGTGACTTGTCGCACAGACATATCTTATCCAATTTCAGAAACAAAAGCGATTCTCTATTGAATATCGCTAGACGATTGATGGATCCTGTCAAACATCCGGATATAGGTTTTTTAGTTTAAATAGAGTTTAAAATATAGTATTTAAATTAAGATAAATAAATAAACAATAAAACAAAATAAAAACAAAATAAATACGAAAAATTGTGCCGAATTTAGCCGCTCTTGGACTCGAAGCAAATGCCCTTGCATTTCCTGATGGAATCGCGCCAAAGCCGTGGAGTTTCAACAAGTTTCGACGGCTTGAATTCGTTAAAAAGGCTCATCCCTTTCATTGGGGAGGCTTGAGCAAAGTATTTTTTAAATCATAAAGGCTTGTAGGAAATCTCAATGAAATTCTTTTCTCTAGTACATCTACTTGACACAATATGCGAAACTGCCATGGATTCACGGAATGCGCATGTTTTACGCTGGGAAACGCTCGGAGTCGGTGAGTGATCGGTGTAACAAGTGATTAGTACTTGCGATATCTTTCAGTGTGACGATTTAGCACGCGTGCAGTCAACTCAATTGACAAATGAGTTATTGTATGGCTTTAAGTGGTTTGAACCACATAAATTCCAATCAAAGCCATTGAATTATTGATAAAAATTCCTATCTGCTCTCCAAAATATAGATTTTCTTCATTTTGAACAACACTGCAACTATTATTTCTTTTCTATTGAAAAGAGCGTGTCTTAAAATCTAGAAATTCGGCTTGGCATTGAAGTGATGAGGTTTTGAAGAGTAGAGACGTCGAGATCGTTCCAGGCCAAACAGATCGATTGAAGTGATGAGGTTTTGAAGAGTAGAGACGTCGAGATCGTTACAGGCCAAACAGATCGATTGAAGTGTTGAGGTTTTGAAGAGTAGAGACGTCGAGATCGTTACAGGTCAAACAGATCGATTGAAGTGTTGAGGTTTTGAAGAGTAGAGACGTCGAGATCGTTCCAGGCCAAACAGATCGATTGAAGTGATGAGGTTTTGAAGAGTAGAGACGTCGAGATCGTTACAGGCCAAATAGATCGATGCTTTTAGTGAAAAAACGTCTGATTCTTGTAGACAACTCGGACAAGTATTCCCCATAAATTCTCTAATTGAAATCAGAAGTTCGAGCAGGCCAATCCAAAGTTGCAATGTTGTTGTTGTTCAGCCAGTCTCGGCTTGATGAATTGACGCGTTTTGAAAACATAGGGAACAGTTGGAGTTAGAAGCAAAAATGGCAGCAGCAAGCAATCGTCCAAGACAGCAGCAAGCAATCGTCCTGCTTGACAGCAGCAAGCAATCGTCCAAGACATCAAAGCGACTCATCCGCTTTGAAACCGATCTTCAGAGCGAGGTTCAATCAGTAAAGAAGGCAGCTCAAACCATCACAGAACCACCGCCAAAGCTTGGAGTGCCAAACACCATCGGAAGATCTCTCCAATAATAGTCAACGCCATCCAAATTCCATTTCTTCTCATTGAACAGCTCCGACAAGTAGTTCCCATATCGGATTGAGGTTAGGAGATCAAGCAGGCCAATCCAAAGTTGAAATGTTGTTGTTGTTCAGCCAATCTCGGCTCAATGAATTAACCTTTTGTTGTGTTGAAACACATAGGAAACGGTTGGATTTAGGAGCAAAAATGCCAGCAAGCAATCGTCCAAGACATCTATATAGTCAAAACGATTCATCCGATTCGAAATCATCTGCAGAGCGGTCAGCATCTGCATCAGCACAGAAGGCAGCCTAAACCATCACAGAACCACCGCCAAAGCTTGGAGTCCCAAACACCATTGGAAGATCCCTCCAATAGTAGTCAACGCCATCAAAATTCCATTTCTTCTCATTGAACACCTCCGACAAGTAGTTCCCATAAATTCTCTATCGGATTGAGGTTAAGAGAGCAAACAGGCGAATCCAAAGTTGCAATGTTGTTGTTGTTCAACCAGTCTCGGCTCAATGAATTAACCTTTTGTTGTGTTGTAAACTTGGGTATAGCTGGAGTACGGTAGCTTAGGAAAAACGGACAAGGTACGATAGGTGTACAGTATACTCATTCACTGGAACTCGATCATTTTTTTCAGATTCCCAAAGAGCAAGCCGTCATGTTGCATATGCGAAACAGCTTCCTCAACACAAGTCAAGGCAACAAAGTCTTTCCCGAATATCAGATGTTTGAGGTGGCTTATGTTAATTAAATAAGTGTATTCAACAAAATTTCTTTGATTATTTGAACTTTCAGGATGAGGCTCTTCCCGAATTGGATAGCATTTTGGGCGAGATCTTTGGCGAAGAGCTGCCCGACTACAAGACGCCAGAGACGATGCCAATTGTGGTCAACTGTACTGTTAGGTGGCTGATTTCTTGGACTGGAGATGGCGTTTGACAAAAATTAGTTAGAGAATTTATTGGACTGTTTAGCAGAACAGAATACGATCTTTTCGTATGTAACCACAAAATGTTGAACCAATTGAGCGGCTTATTCATATGAAAGTCGAAGTTTTAGTCATTGACTGTTCCAGATCGATAAGCGAGATCCCGGGTCAAGCATGCAACAAGCCGACCGGTCGTGTCTGCTACGAGGCCGTGCAGGGAATTGACGAATGGCTTCTCGCGGTGCCCACAGAAGACAGCCAATTTATTGTTGTTTGATTGATGTCAAAACTTGTATGTACCTAATTAGAGTGTGTTCTATACTTTCAAAGTGTCTGTAAAGTAAAGTGTGTTACTTTCAAAGTCTTCCTATACTTTCAAAGTCTTCCTCTAAGCTCTGGTTGAATACCTTCTCATTTTGTGGGAAAATTCAAACAAATGGGCTGTCCATTTGTTTGAATGATTTGAATGATGAATCTGCCTTATATACGCCGCTTTATATACGCTGCTTATATACGCCGCTTTATATACGCCTAAGGCTTAATAGCAACTTGGTTATTTTATGATCCTTCTTGTCCAAAAGGGATCGTATTTGCGCCAGCTGCTTCAGTTTGCTATCGGATAACCCTAAATACCGAAAAGCTCAAATGGATGTTGTAAATTAGTCGTCAATATTGTTGTCTTTAAGCTTTCGAAAGCTAATTTCATTCCGGTAAATATTAAAAATGTGTAGGCAATTTTAAATGCAAAATTCACGAAACAAAAGGATCAACTTCTTTCAAAAGTCATCGGCCAATGATTGAAAACGGTGATCCAGACAGTCTAGACTTAATACTCTAATCTCGACTGAATACCGTAACCTAGCCATTCTAGACTGAAAATCCTGTCCTAGATTGAATACCGTAATTCAGACAGTCTAAACTGAATACCCTAATCTAGACTAAGTACCGTAATCTAGCTATTCTAGACTGAATACTCTAATCTCGACTGAATACTCTAATCTAGACAAATTACCGTAATCTAGCGATTCTAGACTGAATATCCTATTCTAGATTGAATACCGTAATCCAGACAGCCTAGACTGAATACTCTAATCTAGACTGAATACCCGGAAATGCAGAGAATTTGTGACCAAACGCCCAAATAATACTGAATGATCTTCGTGGACTAATCATCATTTTGATTCTATTGTTGCCTCTTCTCTGCTGTTTTTACTGTTTATACTGCAGAGTGAGTTTCTTTGGTGTACTGCCCGATTAATCACTTCAGCCTGGACCGATAGAGTAGATCTGTTCTACAAACAACAAAGTAAACAAACTACAAAGTATAAACAAACTAGAAAGTAAACAAACTACAAAGTAAACAAACTACAAAGTAAACAAACTAGAAAGTAAACAAACTACAAAGTAAACAAACTACAAAGTAAACTAAAAACGTTTCATAACTTGTTTCTCGTAAGTTCTTTCTCAGAATTTTTCTTTTACCAGAATGTAGCAAAAGAAAATCTCTTTCTAATGGTATATAAAGCTCCAAGAAACACAGCACACACATCGTGATGTTAAATGTTTTGTGTTAGTATTTAGTGCCTGTTTAGTTTGTTTAGTTTAAAAATGTTTTGGTGCCTATGACTCGAATCGGGTCAGTTGTAGTTTGCGAAATTGTTGAAGTTTCTAGGATATGGATACCAGTCGAGAGAGAATATTTTCTCAGATGCCCTCAACTACGAAGTCTCTCTCGACGCCTTCATTGTTGGCCCTCTCGGTGGTTGGGATGTGTGCAACGACATGGTGTGAACTCGGCATCTCCGCAAAATATGGCCAGCTGATGAGAAGACTGATGGTGACCGATGCAATCCGATGGTCCCGTGACATCTACGTGCAGCACATCACCGGCAACAAGCAATACGAAGTTCCTATTTGTGATGATTGATCTCTCTCGATGCATGAATTGATTATACCTCGACTTCCAGTAACCAGATCAACTTCAGGTTAGTTTTAAAATGTTCCTGAATGAAATTCCGTTATAGAAATCCATAACTTACTTACTACACTTTAATATCCTTTTAGTCTCCTCTAGTCCTCTTTCTCAAATTGAAATATTTCATGCGTACTTTTGTATATTTCATGCGTACTTTATATCTCTGTGATTGCATAAGTGATCTAGAGTTTTATTTTCGAATCAGGTTTCTCAAGAAGAGAAGCTTCTCAAAACATTGCTGAGCTTTTTGAGATCCGTGATCGCTCAGTAATATTGGTTTTAGGGACATCTTTTGTCTAAATATTGAGAGTTTGAATAAAAGCTGATGTTGTTTTACCAAAGCTGCAGCAACTCGAGCGATTGGGTGGAGCTTTTTCTTCTTCTTTATCGGGTTTTCACACCGAATGAGTCGAAAAACGAATTCCCGGTAAGTATCATAAGCAAGTCAATTGAATGATGGTACCAATTGTTGAATGGCAAGCAAAGAAGAATGAGGCGAAAATGGAATAACCTGAAAAAACAAGATTTCAGATTTCAGCGACTTTCAAACACTAATAATTTTCGTGTTTACGGTTAAGAAACAGATGAGAAACCAGATGACGGGCACCAAGAACATCACAAAGAGAGCAATCAGCTGAATTTCATGAGCTGAATTTCATGAGCTGAAGATTATTGAAGAAAAACTCACTCATTTACCTAAGGTTTACTTCAAATAAAAAGGGTTTATGATTTATGACTTATCGTTTAGTTCTCGCCGCCAAAAAAGACAATTTCAAAGTTCTCAAACGGTATCAATGTCTCAAAACTCTTTTTTTAGTTCTCGCCAAGACAATTTCAACACATTTCAATGTTATTTTGTAGAAAAATTATTTGTCTTTCTAATGGAACAAACTGTCGTTCAATCCATGAAAGTTTTTTATTCGATGTTTTTAAAAGGAAGGATGAAAACGGCGAAAAGACTGGTTTGCCAAACTGACACTGATACCAACGAAACTGTTTGATACCAACGAAACCATTTGATACCAACAAAACTGTTTGATACCAACGAAACCATTTGATATCAACGAAACGGTTTGATACCAACGAAACCGTTTGTTACCAATGAAACCGTTTGATATCAACGAAACTGTTTGATACCAACAAAACTGTTTGATACCAACGAAACCATTTGATATCAACGAAACGGTTTGATACCAACGAAACCGTTTGTTACCAATGAAACCGTTTGATATCAACGAAACTGTTTGATACCAACGAAACCGTTTGATACCAACAAAACTGTTTGATACCAACGAAACCATTTGATATCAACGAAACGGTTTGATACCAACGAAACCGTTTGTTACCAACGAAACTGTTTGATACCAACGAAACTGTTTGATACCAACGAAGCCGTTTGATACCAAAAGCTGGTTAGATAAGAGCACCGTAGCTTTGGAAAGTTGTCTGCTATCAAGTCTGCTATCAAAAAGTAGATTTGCTTATCCGGATATCAAACAGAAGTTGATAAAGACAAGATTTTACCGTATAACTTCTGTCTCCATTCTTGAGTTACTGTACCAACGGTTACTATACCAACGAAACCGTTTGATATCAACGAAACGGTTTGATACCAACAAAACTGTTTGATACCAACGAAACTGTTTGATATCAAGGAAACTGTTTGATACCAAAAGCTAGTGGTTAGATAAGAGCACCGTAGCTTTAGAAAGTTGACTGGCTTTTGAAAAAGCATCAGTCGAAAGGAACGGATTTGTCTAATACAGTCACTCACTTGAAGGTTGAGATTCCGGGTCCACTTCTTGTGAAGATGTAAAGTACGAGGGCTCATGAAATTTCGTTGTTGCGTCAGAATGTGATTGGTAAAGATGAGCAAGCCTGTAGTGAAAATGAGAAACTGATTAACTCATGAACTAAACCGAAAAGCACTCCTCCAAAAAGCGATGGGTAGATTATTACAGCAGCCACAAATATAGTAATCACTGGTTTTTCGAGAATCCAAATATTCGGGCTTGTGAGGAAAGAGGCAATCTCCGGGAATCTCTGAAACTAAAGCTAACTGAAAACTAACTGAAAACGGTTTCAACCTGAATTTGCTCGTTGAATGCTATTTTTTCATCATTGGCTGCCCACATTGCATAAGTTAGAGGCACAAGGAGGAAAAGTGGATGAGCGTACCAGAAGATTTCAGTCATGAGAGCTTTCCTGAAAGAAATTTGATAGATATGAAATATTGAATAGAATATTGAATAGAATTTAGCTGGTTACTTTCTTCCAAACTTTGCCCAGTGATTATCAGGCAAAATGGCTTGTCCCTTTTCGAAAACCGCTCCCAGCAAAGCCACCACGAATTCAAGAAGCAAAAATGTTTGCAGACACTAGAATTATGATGTTTATGAATGTTACTACAATTTAAGTTACAAATATTCATACAATTTGAAAAATTAACGGTACGCCGAGATTCGCAAAGAGGCCAACGTAGAGTACGGATGGAGCTGGGAAACAGGGAACCGGCAAAACAAATGAACAATGAAAGAGATCATTTACGAGGCCGAGTAACTGGAATTCAAATTCAAATTGAGTAGAATCATTACTTGAAAATCACCTACCTGCACAATTAGTTGATAATTTTTGAATGTTCCCAAATGTTTCGGTGTCGCGAAATAGATGACAAACAAACCGAAGCTATTCAATAAGAAGAAGGGTACTGAAATGGGAAAGTTGAGCAAAGAGCAAATAAACTGGAACGTTTCTAAAAGATGCGGTTGAAAAAAACCGTAATCAGAACGAAACCCTGTTTCAAGTTTCACTTTAGCGTGAGAGGAGTCACTTTTGGCTTGAGTTGAAAAGAATTCAGAGTATTATCGCGTCTTTTTGAACTAACTTTTATGCGATTTAAAGTATCCTTTTACGTTGTGTAAAACATGAATTCTGTTCAGTTTCTTTTCCTCTTTAGAATCGTGCATAGCATTAAATGTGTATTTTTAGAAATGCAAGCTTGCCCTCATCGAGAAACGACCGCTATGCTTTTTGAAAGCCGGAGGGTCGAAGGCGGTCATCTCGCGAAAGCACAAAACCAACATCAGAACTGTTCAACGACTTGCCAAACAATTACAAGAGAAAGGACACGTCAAGGAGAATTCGAAAAAAGGAAGACCTCGATCGGTGAACACGCCAAACATCCGGAAGCTCATCAAACTGCGAATTGACCGAAACGACGAGCGAAGCTTAGGAAAAATGGCTAAGGAGGAAAGGGCGGGAGGGAAGAAAAAGAAAAACGTTGGGGGGGGGGGGTGGGGAAGGGAATGGGGGAGTTCGGGGGTTTCTGAAAAAGGTGTTGGTTTGTAAGGGGAAAAAAAGAAAGGGGGGCTTTTAAAACATATTCAGCTTTCGATAGCTTTTTTGTTATGCTACCCTTCAGTTTTAAAATCCTGTTTAGATAACTGGTTTAACATTGTAGAAAGAACTTACTAACATTTGTTTCGCCACCGACGAGTATTAATCTTGTGTTGGATGCTGCGCGTTCTTGTAAGCGCTTTGGGGAAACCCTTTGTTTTAGTATTTTGGAAAAAATAGAACTTGAATGAGGATTGAAAAAAAATAAAATTCACACTTAAAAATCAATAATTTCTTTGAATAGAAATGCAATAATCCAATAAAATTTGTTCTTTAATTGATCGAATCATATAAATCTTGTTTTTTTGAAACTATTTTAAGTAAGAAGAAGGGTACTGAAATGGGAAAGTTGAGCAAAGAGCAAATAAACTGGAACGTTTCTAAAAGATGCGGTTGAAAAAAACCGTAATCAGAACGAAACCCTGTTTCAAGTTTCACTTTAGCAGTCTTTAAGTAGTTTTTAAGTCAAAAAAAAGCTCATTTTTGAGAGAAAAAAGAAGAAAATAGAGAAGAATTGCTTTAAAAAACTTGAAAAACTATTAGGTAAATGAAAGTTTTTCATTTAGCTCTCCGTATCCGCCTACAGGTCCGGTCTGTGCACACATATCATTTGGTCGCGTCCGTTTCCTTCCTATTTACGTTGCTATTTTGCGATTATTCGCGTCGCGTTTTTCGTCCTTTTTCCCCCTTCCCGAAATTATTTTTTTTTGGTCTGCGGGTTTTTGCCTTCTTTCTTGGGGGACTTTGTTGTTTCATTTTTTGATGCGCATGCTGTTTTTGTAATGGGTATTGTTGCATTTCGGTTCTGTACTAATAAACAGTAACCTTATAAATTCACTTTACTTTATGCTACCCTCCAGGTTTTAAATCCTGTTTAGATAACTGGTTTAACATTGTAGAGAGACTGGTTTTACTAATTTTACTACATTTGTGTCACCATCGACGTAGTATCAATCCGATCCGTACTCTTCTCAAAAGTATTAATCTATTGTTGGATACTACGTGTTCTTGTTACGTTATAAGCGTTATAAGCGCTTTTCGGGAAACCCTTTTAACTTTTGTGCTATTCGGCCATTCTTAAGCAGAATCATCCTCTTTAGCGGGTCGCACCCCAAACTAAAGAAAGAAAAGCTTATTCTTTTCGATTGTTGATCTGTAGCACGCAAAGAAAACAGTAAACAATCAATCGGGGGCGTTTCTTTGTATCACGACTTTCAGTAGCGCTACTTAAATAAGGGTAAAATGATTTGCTTAGCAACTTTTAGTTACTGTCAAATCCCAGATTATTTCAATATATCAATTGGCACATAGGTTATACCCCCAATCTGGCGATTGGGTTATACCCCCATCGGTGAATCAATCTGGCTTTTGCTGCCCGCACTTTACATCAACAAAAATTTACACTTACAAGTTTTACTTGCATAATGTTGGGTTTTACCCCCACGCAAAACTGAATTTTACTCTCTTTGTATGAAAATTTTGATATTTTTCGGTTAAATCTCTGCCACCAATATGGAGACCAAATGGGCGTTCCTTCCCATTTTCAATTTAAATCATAATATTTTATCATAGTGCCCTATCTCCACCAGCTTGGTTCCCTATCTCTTTAAATTTGGTTCCCTATCTCTTTAAATTTGGTTCCTTATCTTTTACCCTACAACTTTGGTTCCCTATCTCTCTAAATTTGGTTCCTGATCTCTAAATTTGGTTCCTTATCTTTTACCCTACAACTTTGGTTCCCTATCTCTCTAAATTTGGTTCCTGATCTCTAAATTTGGTTCCTTATCTCTAAATTTGGTTCCTTATCTCTAAATTTGGTTCCTGATCTCTAAATTTGGTTCCTTATCTCTAAATTTGGTTCCTTATCTCTAAATTTGGTTCCTTATCTCTAAATTTGGTTCCTTATCTCTAAATATGGTTCCTTATCTCTAAATTTGGTTCCTCATCTCTAAATTTGGTTCCTCATCTCTAAATTTGGTTCCTCATCTCGAAATTTGGTTCCTCATCTCTAAATATGGTTCCTTATCTCTAAATTTGGTTCCTCATCTCTAAATTTGGTTCCTTATCTCTAAATTTGGGGGGCCAAATGGGCGTTCCTTCCCATTTTCAATTTAAATCATAATATTTTATCATAGTGCCCTATCTCCACCAGCTTGGTTCCCTATCTCTTTAAATTTAGTTTCCTATCTCATTCAAAGTGTTGCATTCAAGTTATTCAATGTATAGCGGGAGTATAATTGTCAGTACTCAAATTACTCAAATTACTAGAGTACTCAAATTTTATTCATTTTACTTATTGCTCGTTTGTTGCTCGGCTCGTTTGTTGTATCTCGAAGCAAAGTCTTTAAATTTGTGCTGATCTCAAGCCATTTTGCCTACAAAATTAATTATCGCCGGGCATAACCCGTAAGAATCCATCAATCCAAGAATCCATCAATCCCAGAATCCATTTTAGTGTCCCTGCTGAGCAGTCGCATCTTTTGTCTATTGTTGTTGGTATTGTTGGAGAGAAAAATCGAAATGAAGCTGGTTTTTTGTCTTTTTCTCTTTCTATTCTTTGCGTATCCAATGACATCGATCGGCGTTCGGCAAAAAGTGGGTATTTTGAATTTTCCATGAGCTTAAAACCCTAGAAACGACGTGCTAATTGTTTATAATTTTTGAGTTGAGTGAGTTGAGTCTTTTAAAAAGCAGATACTTTGCATAAGCAACTGCCGAGTGCAAATAGCTCTCAATGAACCAAGAAGTTCCCAATGAACCAAGAAATTTACCAAGAAGTACCGAAAAAGTTTAGCGTCAGCTTGGCGGTTTTCTCCCTCGCCTCGGGATCCCACGAGTCCCTCCTCGAGTCACTCCGCAGCAAGGCTCAAGCGTTGGCTATGGCATTCCAAGGGTATAAAATTATGAATTGAATCTAAATTGAATTTGAATTTAGAAATTATGAACTGAATTTGTTCCCTAAATTCTGAATTTATGAATTCAATTGAAGGGTAATTTTTAGAAAAGTGGCAAAAATCTTTGGGATCAACTCCTTGGGACAAAGCCACAGCCAATTTAACTGTTGAACTTGTTGAAGCCAATTTGTTGAAGCCAACTTGTTGAAGTCAACTTGTTGAAGATGCAAATATTTTTCTATATGATCCAAATAAACTTTAAAAGTTACAAGTACACCAATTGGCCAATTAAATACACCAATTGGCCAATTTTAAAGCATATCATATATACCAAATATGAGCCTCCAAACTTTTGTGGGGTTTTGCACAAGCCCTTGCCTCCAAAATTGACCAGACACTGAGACGACCTGATGAGAAACACTTAGCAATCGCGCGTTCACCTTGACGGAATTTATGGGGAATACTTGTCCGAGTTGTCTACAAGAATCAGACGTTTTTTCACTAAAAGCATCGATCTATTTGGCCTGTAACGATCTCGACGTCTCTACCCTTCAAAACCTCACCACTTCAATCGATCTGTTTGGCCTGTAACGATCTCGACGTCTCTACTCTTCAAAACCTCATCACTTCAATGTCAAGCCGAATTTCTAGATTTTAAGACACGCTCTTTTCAATAGAAAAGAAATAATAGTTGCAGTGTTGTTCAAAATGAAGAAAATCTATATTTTGGAGAGCAGATAGGAAAAGCTCCAGACGATGAAGCTCCAGACGATGAAGCTCCAGAATGGCAGATTGCTTGTTTGTCATCCTATAAAAAATGAATAGACTTGAAACAAAGTAAAAAACAAAGAAACTAATAAAACAATCCGTACATAACTGTTGAACTTGTTGAAGCTGCAATTCTTTTTCTATATGATCCAAATAAACTTTTAAAGTTACAAATACACCAATTGGCCAATTAAATACACCAATTGACCAATTTGAAAGCATATCATATATACCAAATGTTCAAAAACTTTAGATACAATTTGTAAAATTCGGAATTCAATTCAAATTCAATGAAATCACCATGAAATGCTCGTTTTCGGATACCTAAGTTTCAAGTTTAGTTCGAAAATTGTTTTCATCCTTTTTGAGAGTCGTTCTTTTTGAGTGAAATGTGTTTTGTTTCCGAAAAAAAAAGTTTCCGATCACCCTGTATAGAGTCGACGAGCAGAAAATCAATGAAAGATTTCAAAAATGATCGAGCCGATTTTAGTGGAGGTTGGCAAGAGGAATTGCTTGCTTGAATATTGCTTTTCAAAAACGCTATTCGAGTGTGATTCAAAAAGTGAAACAAGCCAAACCAGGAACTGATTGTGAGAGAGTTTTTGAAATAAAACGAAATAAACTGACCCTTGAATAGGACAATCACTAAATTATAGTTCTGATGCCAATTTTGATTTTGACAATGTGTCTGAAAAACTGAACCCATTGTGTCCTTTCCTCGTTATTTTCCGTGTCCTTTCCTGGTTCAGACACAAATGCCAACTTCCTGACAAAAAAAAAGTGAATTTGAATGAGGTTCCGGTTCAGCAAGAGTTCCGGTTTAGCAAGGGAAACACTCGTACCTATAAATATGAAGAGTGGGATGGTTTGAAGTCAGAAATGAAATCTCCGATGGGTTCATTGCTTCAATATGCTTTCATTACTATATCGGCTTTGATATTGATACAGCTTGGAGTCACAGTGACAGCCACGAGTTGTGAGTCATTAGATTTTCTTGGTTTCTTTTGCAATTTATTAATTTGAGTACAGCTTTGATGGAATCAGTAAAGCTAACAATAGAATAGCAATAGAAATAGATCATTGCTTGAGACAGGCTAGCCTTGGATCAAATCAGATCCAAGTCTGACCTTGTTTTAGCTTATCCTGGCCTGATCAGACCCTTCATAGGAGTCACCGTGACAGCCACGAGTTGTGAGTCACTAGATTTTCTGATCAAATTAGAGGTGATCAGATCCTTCATAGGGTCTGATCACCTCTAATTTGGCCTGAGGTTGGCCTCTACTTTGGCCTCATGAAACCTCCATTCTTCTGACTTTTACTAAAAGTCTCGAGGATTCAGAATGCTAATCTCAAATATATGATTCACTTCGGCCAATGTAACTGTCAATTTTGACCCTTTAAGCCTGTTCAACCTGCACACAAACAAGCCCAACGCTCACCATTGATACGACAAGCTCTGGATCAGCTCCGTTTGATAGCGGTGAGACTCATTAGATGTATTCTTTGTAATAATCTTGATTGAATTGCCAAAACAAAGTAATCAAAGGATAATTATCCTGTTCAGATGTTATGGGAACGGATGGAAATGGACGTGTGACAAGAACGCTAACTTGTACATCAACAGTTGCTGGGTATGCTGCATATATCTCGGTGAGTCTTTGAAATTCGTTTATGTTTGATGTTTGATGACTTTGAGTTCAAGCTGTAATTGGTTATTTTCCAAAAATATGAGAACTTTAGTGTAATTCGGATGTAAATGGAGTAATCGAAGGAACTCCATCAGTTGTGGCAAATCTTACATGCACCGGCGCTGAATGGGATTTGACTTACAATGGGGCAACTGCAGCAATTTCGACATTGGGATGTTTTCCGATAACTTGTGCTATGTACCCAGATCTCTGTGACTCAACAACAACAACAACTACTACAACAACGACGACTACTACAACTACCACTACCACAACAACGACCACAGATACAACTACTACAACAACAACAGCCACGACGACGAGTACCACAACTACAACTCCATCTACAACAACAACTACTGTAACCTGTGGTATTTGCCCTTCTACAGGTGATTGCGGTTCACATTCTTAAGCTTACAAATCGTTTATTTCTTTGCAAAACTTGATTTCAGGATACTGGTCATCTTGGTACAATCAAGACAGCTGTACCCCGTCGTGGACATGGATTCAAGTGGCCACAATTGGACAGCCAAACTACAGTAGAACTCAGCAAAATTTCACTTGTGGTATGCACGGACGGCAAGTGCAAGTCAGAGATTGCGTCTCGGCTCAACGTGGATGTCCTTGCGTGTGAGTTGTTTTGCTGCAAACTGCAAAAAAAGCTAGGCTAGCCATTGAAATAGACTCACTAATTGTCGAATTCTAGTGGTGATAACGTTCGACAAGTGGCTTGTGGCGATCCAACGGTTTGCTCAATGCCCCAACTCCCTGGTATCGCTTGTGCCACTGGATACAGGTAAGCTAAAGATACTGTAGCTGAATTTGGATAGTAGATATGTCGCTGGGAACGGGGCAAAGACTTTTTGGAACTCTAAACATGATTTTCAGCTTGTCCGGATCAACTTGCATCCAGACAACTGTCACCACAGATGCCCCAGTGATCCCAGATCCTTCTGAGAACAATCCGGATTGTGGTAAGTTAGCCGAAATTTTTTATTCTTACAGTTAAATACTCTAAATCGCATTCTTTCAGTGGTTTCCCCAACTTGTCCTTGCCCATCGGGTGGTGCGTGGAGCGATTGGCAGTTGATTTCAACTTCCCCGTGCCCAATGATTCCCAACTATCAATACAATACAACAAGTGGACAAAATTATGCCGCAACAGCTTGTGGATCGTGTCAAACACAATTGGAAGAGAGGACTTGCACATCGGCAACTCGTGGATGTTCTTGCACGTAAGTTTGTAAGAAGCGAGACTAAGAGCGGGCAACCATACTCAGAGTACAATAAGGATAGCCTTATTGTACTCTGTACAATAACCTACAAGATCTTGTCAAATAAACTCTCTGAGGCTGCTCATGCTAATGTACCAACTTGAAATCTAGTCAGACCAGTTAGTAACTGATTGCAAAGGCAAACTCAAACTCAAATATTGTAAGGAAACAACAACTTCAAGAATTCCTGAATTAGCATGGCAGTTGTTGCAAGCACGTACACTACAGTAGATAAACAGAACCGATAAACCGATTTTCTTTTCAAAATCTCTTAAAAACTGTGGATCCCAGTGAATCTTTTGGTATGGCGGGGATCAAGGAGGAGGCAGGTGTCTGCCTCTAGACCCAGGCCAGTTGGAGTCAGGGTAGGTATTAGCTGAATAACGTCAGCTAACCTTACGTCGGCTAACTAGCCTCGATCTGGCTTGTCTATTCAACACAAAAGCATTGGCTGATAATCAATGACAAATTAGACGGGAATTGTTTTGTATTGAAAAGTTTACCATAACTTACAACATTTGCATCGTAATAGCTCCCTTCAGCCCAAATCCAATTGCACTCGTGCGATGCTAATCAACTATAATACCTCTTAAACTTAAGCTTTCTTATATCTCTTGACAATGAAAAATTGTAGACACTACAACTTTGGCCATTTTACTCAAATAGCATGTAATTTTATTAATGTATCATATCATTTTAGTGGTTTACCATATCGCTGGAAGCGTTGCAACCCGGTTCTCTGTGTTTATCCGACATTGGTCTGTTGTAATGATGTCGATGGAATTGCGAGACAAGTCAACTATTCAACGGTAACAGAAAATCAATTTCAACTTTCAATTCCAATTCCAGAAGCGATATGAATGTCTTCCAACCCCATCAAATCTCTGGAATGACACAACAACGTCACCCGATCCATGGCCAACAAATAACTGTAAGTTTTACAGGTTTGACTAACTATGGCTGATAATTTCAGGCCCAACCTCCACCACCACTTCTACTACAACAACTACAACGACAACTACCACTATGACCACAACAACCACCGCAACTGACACCACAACCACCACTACCACTACCACAACAACGACCACCGATACAACTACTACAACAACGACAGCCACGACGACGAGTACCACAACTACAACTCCATCTACGAATACCACAACTACAACTCCATCTACGAGTACCACGACTACAACTCCATCCACAACAACAACTACTGTAACCTGTGGTATTTGCCCTTCTACAGGTGATTGTGGTTCACATTTTTAAGCTTACAACTCGTTTATTTCTTTTCAAAACTTGATTTCAGGATACTGGTCATCTTGGTACAATCAAGACAGCTGTATCCCGTCGTGGACATGGATTCAAGTGGCCACAATTGGACAGCCAAACTACAGTAGAACTCAGCAAAATTTCACTTGTGGTATGCACGGACGGCAAGTGCAAGTCAGAGATTGCGTCTCGGCTCAACGTGGATGTCCTTGCGTGTGAGTTGTTTTGCTGCAAACTGGTTGCCACGCAAAAAAAGCTAGGCTAGCCATTGAAATAGACTCACTAATTGTCGATTTCTAGTGGTGATAACGTTCGACAAGTGGCTTGTGGCGATCCAACGGTTTGTTCAATGCCCCAACTCCCTGGTATCGCTTGTGCCACTGGATACAGGTAAGCTAAAGATACTGTAGCTGAATTTGGATACTAGATATGTCGCTGGGAACGGGACAAAGGCTTTTTTAGAACTCTAAACATGATTTTCAGCTTGTCCGGATCAACTTGCATTCAGACAACTACCACCACAGATGCCCCGGTGAATCCAAGATCCCTCTGAAAACAATCCGGATTGTGGTAAGTTGGCCGAAAATTTTTATTCTTACAGTCAAATACTCTAAATCGCATTCTTTCAGTGGTTTCCCCAATTTGCCCATGCCCATCGGGTGGTGCGTGGAGCGATTGGCAGTTGATTTCAACTTCCCCGTGCCCAATGATTCCCAACTATCAATACAATACAACAAGTGGACAAAATTATGCCGCAACAGCTTGCGGATCGTGTCAAACACAATTGGAAGAGAGGACTTGCACATCGGCGACTCGTGGATGTTCTTGCACGTAAGTTTGTAAGGAGTGAGACTAAAGGCGGGCAACCATACTCAGAATACGGTAAGAATACTACTTCCAGCCCCATCAAATCCCTGGAATGACACCACAACAACCCCTGGTTACATAAACTCTCTAAGATGGGATGCTAATGTGCCAACTTCAAGCCTAGTGTGTTATTAACTGATTGAAAGCCAAACTCAAACTCAAATATTGTAAGGATAACTTGAACAATTCCCTAATTAGCAAGACAGTTGTTGCAAGCACATACATTACAGTTGACTCGTGCGATGCTGATCAACTATAATACCTCTTAAACTTAAGCTTTCTTATACTCTTGATAGTTAAAAAATGTAGACACTACAACTTTGACCATTTTAGCCAAATAGCATGTAATTTTATTAATGTATCATATCGTTTTAGTGGTTTACCATATCGCTGGAAGCGTTGCAACCCGGTTCTCTGTGTTTATCCGACATTGGTCTGTTGTAATGATGTCGATGGAATTGCGAGACAAGTCAACTATTCAACGGTAACAGAAAATCAATTTCAACTTTCAATTCCAATTCCAGAAGCGATATGAATGTCTTCCAACCCCATCAAATCTCTGGAATGACACAACAACATCAACCGATCCATGGCCAACAAATAACTGTAAGTTTTACAGGTTTGACTAACGATAGGTGATAATTTCAGGCCCAACCTCCAGCACCACTTCTATCACAACCGTTTTTGAATGAATCAAAAGCAAAAGATGTCTTTCTAATCGAAGAATTCTATGTTACCTCTGCAAAGCACTTAATACCTTTGTTAATTCCCCATGTCAGTCTTTCAAAGGCCTAATATTTGTATAATAAATGTTTACTTGAGTTTCGATCACATTCTGACTCTGCATTCTCTGCATTCTCTGCATATTTTCCAAGCCAAACACTGTAAAGCTCAAGATAATTTGGGTATTTTAAAAACAACCGATATTTCAGATGGAAAATCCCTTGGATTGAAATTTAAAATGCTTTTAAACGGGACGTCGCTGTCCGAACAATAGAAAACCCGATTGATTCCCAATTTTACCCATTGTCAGTCAAATCTCTCCATTCAGTTTTTTGGGTTTTCCGTTCAGATGTTGATGTCCGAATCGTGAATATCAGTTTTTCAATTTTTTTAAAATATTTTAGAAAAATCGGTAGCAGTTTAACCCATTCGAAACTTCTGCAGCAAAAACTCAGAAACGGACCGCTGAAGCGCTAATTTGCTGCAGCGCTAATTGAGCTGTTTTCATTCAATTAATTGGTTTTTTTCTTGCTGTTTTTCGGCATTACATGTATCTTCCAATTGTAACATATCTACAAATTAGGTGGGCAAAACAGACATATTTACCATATTGTCATATTTACCCGGAATCAATGCAGCCTCTGGTTTTGCATTGAAATTTTCCATAATAGCTCTAATCTTATATAGCTGATCTCCTGCAGGATCCAGTTCATTATCACAAAAACGCAGGTTTCGAAGAATAGATTCAAATTTTGCTCTTGACATAATGTGGGACATGTGGGAAAATCCTCCTAATCCAGGCCTGCTACTCCAGTAGTCACGAATCCTCGGT